ACTTTAGGCAGGATTTTGCATTTAGGTCATTGTTCTTCTTTTTTTTTAATATGTTTCGATTTTGGCTCAATGTTTCACTTATTTCAATTAAGTCACCATTTCTGCTATATTATTCATTTGAAATACGCTACTGTTGTTTTATTTTAGTCACTTCTCATTAAAATATTGATATTCAAATGTTTCATACGACCTTTTGACCTTCCTTGGGGTATAATCCACATTATAATGGTTCGGGAAAAATTCTAACTGTTTTCCATTAACTTACTAATTTCTAACTGCTAGCCGCTAATTTTATAAAAAATATTATGCGAATTAACTTACGACCTCACAAGGACCCGCCTTGGGGTACGATTCGTGTTAATTATGGTCCGGTAAAAATTAAAAAATGACCACTAACCTTATGAATTTTTCTATTGTTAATTTTCTGTTATCTACATTTCAGCCCTTTAATTTTATGTATTTTTTAATTTCAAAATTTGTATTTCAGTCATTAAATTCCAGCTTTTAATTTTTTACATTGGGTTAATTTAAGCTTTTTATTATGATTTCTTTCATTTTAGCCCTTTTACCTAATGTTTCGATTTCAACTATTCTTTTTTAATTATTTTAATTTAGTCCTTTAAGTTAGGAGAATTTTTAATTTGGTCCTCGTTTTTGCTCGATGTTCCATTTTAATTATTCTACTCAATAATTGATTAAAATTGACTAGGTTAGTAATTAGAACGTCCATTTTTAGCGTTAATTTAATATTTTAGTTCCTTAATTTAAGGAAATTTTTAATTTGGTCCTTGCTTTTGCTCGAGGTTCCATTCTAATTATTCGAATCAATAATGAATTAAAATTGAATAGGTTAACATTTAGAGCCTCCACTTTAGTTTATTTCAAACTTAGTCCTTTAATTTAGGATAATTTTTTATTTGATCCTCTCTTTTATGCCCGAGTTCCATTTTGAATATTGACTCGGTAATTTGTTAAAAAACGATTTGGATTTTAGGTTAAATATTTTAGGTTTTTAAATTTCATGACACTTTAAGTTATAGATAAGCCTTAATAAATTCATTTAGTAAAATTATGTCAAATAACCGACTGTTTGATTGCAGTTTGTTTTCAAAATAAGACAATGTTCATTTATTAGGGGGTTAGTAGTGTATCTCCCTCTTTTGCCCGGGGTGACCGTTATTAATTCTCTTAGTAAATCAACATCCTTCTCGAAACCCCACACCATGATTCTAAATTATCAAGGCAATATTCATTTATTGTGGTTAATAATGATGCTTCTACTTTTGTTTGGGAGTTGTCGTTATTAGTCTTGGTAAATCGACATCATTTTTATAATATGCATACATAGTGCTTTTTAAGTTAAATAAAATTTCAAACTCAAAATTTCTAATTTTAAAATATATGATAATCGACTAGGTACCAATTTTGGACTCTTGAACCTGATTTCTAATTTTGCATACTAAAATTTGGTATTTTTAGTAAAATAAAATGTTTTTTTAAAATTACATGATTTTAGGTGATCCAATCTCATCTTAAAAATGATTGGTGGAGACTCCCATCTTATCTTAAACCTATTTATTTTCAAAAATATTGTATCGATCTTTCCACCAAAAGTCGATTGAGACAAATACCTTCAGTATTATTTTGTAGAAATTCGTGTATAGAGGAACCTTAAAACTATCAAACAAATTTGAATGATGCTTCTGATCTATGGATTTTCAATTGACTTGAATTTTTGACTAGAAATCAATCTTTTGATGAGTAATGTACTTGTAAAACATTAGCCCCAAATTCCTTCGTTTGCTTTTTCTGGGATTTGTTTTAGCTTTTTTCAATTTTTTTCCTTTTGTTTTTTTCTTTTTCTTTTTTATTTTTGATAAAAGAACAAAAAAATGAATTAAAAAATAAAATAAAGAAAAAAGAACTTGAAAAATGATCAATTGTCAAAAACTAGCTCCGTTGAGGTACCTTGACGTTGATGTGCACAAGAACAAAAACGATTGTTTGATTCTCTCCAATAATCGATATAAATATGATACCAATTAATAGGAGATGACAAAGGAGTGATGAACGTTGTTTGATTAGAAGAATCAAGCCTAGGGATCTAGACTCAATCAAAGAACAAGATAGAAGATGGATTCGTGTTTTGACGTAACTTAGGGTTCTTGAAGATGAAGTTACTAGATAAATCAAACAAGATGATGAATAATAGAAAGATGATGAATAATATTTAATAAATATATATAAAGGATGAATAAAAGATAAATAAAGATATGAAAGAATTCGAATTGAAATTCCCCTGATATGTATGAAGTTGGGTGAACTTGGATAATGGTGGTGGTGGTCGATTTAATGATGATGATGGTAGTGGTGGTGAAGATAGATGGATAGTTTTCCTACGAGCCCTCCTAATCGCAATTGACTAGGCAAACTTGATAATTGACTCTAACTAGTCCTCCTAATCGTAATGAATAAGAAAATTGAACTATGAAGATCTCCCTCACGAAGAACTTGAAAGAACTTAATGATGAAAAATGCTTCGAAGGCACGAGACAATCAACACTTGCAAAAACACTCATTGTATTATATTCAAGAAAAGATATATTTACAATGGTTGGAGGAGCATCCTTTATATAGGGTGAGGAGTCTTTGTTGTAACATGACTAATTAATAGAATAATAATAAACTAAAGATATTGTTTTAATTCTATCCTAATTCCTAATAAAATAATAATAAACTAAGAATTATGTTTTAACTTGATCTTAATTCATAATAAAATAATAAATCTAATTCTAAAAGATAATACATTTAAATTATATTACAAATAATCAATAAAATATTAAAATTTTGTAATATTTAGAGAATGATCGTTTAAGAGACTTTAAAGATATTTTCATGATTGTCACTGATTGTGTCATTAATTGATCCTAAAGTTATTTCAATTTAAGTTGTTGTGATCCAAGTAGATGTAGTAGGAATGAGTAATGGATTTCCTTCATTGAATACTTCAATCTCCATGCGAGCATGAAGTCCCTTGCTAATGAAGGCTTGAACAGAAACTTGAAGCTCGTCTTTCAGAAGTTTGGACTTGGCTCGTGTGATTGGACCAAGTGAAAGAGTTACTCCACCTTTGTCTTGTGGCGTGTAGTGCATGTATCACTAAAACTAATTGAAAGTATCTTAAATGCCATTCAACCTCACATGAACAACTCTAATACCACAATCATTTCTGCATACTTGATGAACAAAAATGTACCAAAAAGCAACAACATAAATTATGCTAAATCGTATTCATTACCTTACCATCATCGCTAAAAAAAATTACAATTATACTTACCATTTTTCTAATGTACATAATGAACACATATCAAATTCCATATTCAAGATTTATTGTCACTTTGTTCGGAATGAAACATACTTATTTGATAAATGGACTTCATACAACTCACATTTTATTAGGGACTCACATAGATCCAAGTACATATAATTGGTGGAGCAATATCTAACACTCAACCTTACCCATATATTTCTCGGAGAAAAGCTCAACACACTAACCTTACTTCATATCTTGATATCACTTACACATTAAAAAATATATAGTACTCTTTCCTATGCATGTCTTCCATATGCAACGGTTACATATTGAACAATTTATCAATTAATCCATGTTTATCATAAGTAGTTGTTGTTTTATGCGTAACATATATCACATACACTTGAAATCATTGTTTTGAAACACATTTACATTGGTTGCCAGGGTTAACCTCTTTTAAACAGTGACTTGCTCACTCATCCATGAATAATAGAGATGTTCTACTCACCTCACATCATATCTATATTCACATAGTTTTTTCCAAAGTAGCTTTCCAAATCATTTGTGCATCAAACTAGTAATATCAATGCACATAGAATATCATAATGTATCATTCATGCATGAACCATGTATATGCGTCCAACATGATACCGATGTCGTCTAATCACCAAGTTTAATAATTAATCAATGCTCAACAGAAATTAAAGGAGAATAAAACACTTACTCTAGGTTCTTAGTATAGGTTACCAACCTAACACTAAGCCCTCAATTAACATTAATAATGCACATCAAAGGAGAATGGACAACCACTCACCAACACCCAAAACTGCTACTCCAGTGCAACTCAAATATTAAACACTATTACACTAACAAATGCTACTCCAATGCAACTCAAATATTAAACACTATTATTAAACATTAAATAATGAATTTATCAATCAATAATCACTAAAAAACAGAAAATTCTACTAAAACAGCCCAAAAAATTAGCGCCAAAATGGCTGACATTCTTACCTATTTCGCAAGAACTTCACCGATGTGTATTTTCATCATTCTCCAACAACCAAACCTGATTAAAAATGATAAAATATGATTTTAGAACATCTATAAACCTCAAATTAAAACAACAACCCATGAAACTATTTTTCCGGAAAATTAATTAAAACAATTCTTGTTCACTTTAATTCTTTAATGACACAAACTTAGATAAAAAATCTACTTTAATATGATTATAAAATAATTAAAAATCACTCAATAATAAGTAAATTAACTCTAAATAAAATGGAAATTTTGGAGATAAATAATAAATCAAAGATAAAAAATTGGTTTTCATCTCATTTCCAAAACCAACACATGAACACTACTCATCCCAAGATTGGATCAAATCTTTCGTTAAAGTAAGTGTTATAGTTTTATATTGTTTCAGAGTTCGAGATGTAAGAAGAGAAAAAAATAGAGTTCAGGAAATAGATATTTTCATTCAAAAATTGCATGCCTCTTTCATCCATATTACATTGTTTTATTTGTTTACACTGTACCGAGAATCTACTAAGAATGACAATTGGTTGTCCTGTATCTAACATTCTTAACTTTCTATTTCAAGTGACTTGGGCTTCTTCATTTGGGCTGGCTTGCCTTAAGCAAGAGAAGCTTGTAGTTTCATTTTAATTCTCATGTGCGCCTCACCTGAATCCCAGGTAAAATTTCCCAATTCCTTCACTGCTATCCCTAACCCTTACTTTTCGACTCCCAATTTGATCGTTTAGAGCCTCCCTTCATATTCTCCAATTGTGACAATACCCTCCCCTTGAAACAATCCTTGTCCCCAAGGATCAAAGGCTGGAAACTGAGCCTTAAGAACAGTGAAATCCTCCCAAGTGTACTGGGTAGCGTCCAAGTTTGTCCATCACACCAAAAGTTGAGTAACTGGCTTGTTTTGTCGATTAATTAGTCGTTTCCCAAAAATCTTCAATGGATAGATTTTGAACTGACCCTCATTGTCCAGTGCATGAGGATTGCTCGAAGGAACCACTGAGTCTCCGATTCTCTTTATTAACAGGCTCATATGGAAAATTGGTTGCAGCCAAGAGTTTTCTGGTAAGTCCAAGTGATAAGCCATTTGTCCAATTTTTTCTAACACTTTGTAAGGGTCATAATACTTTGCTTATAATTTCATATTTTTCCTTAGTACGAGGGAAAATTGAAGATATGGTTGGAGCTTCAGGTAAACCTCATCACCAACCTATAAATGTCTTTTAGCTTTATGTTTATTTGTCTGTTGTTTCATCCTGTTATGTGCTTGTTGTAATTGTTCTTTAATAATTTGCCTTAACTACTATGAATGTTCAATATCTCACTAACACTTTGCACCTGTGAGTTTGTGTGCCAACCCATAGTTGGGGGTTGTAGCCATAGAGGGCCTGAAAGGGTGTAAGCTTAAATGTTGTGTGATAAGTGGTGTTGTACCACCACAAAGCATGGGGTAATCACTTGACCCATTCCTTAGGTTTCAGAAAACATAAGCCTCTTAAGTACTGCTCCAAACACAGGTTAACCCTTTCTGTTTGGCCATCTATTTCTGGGTGATAATTTGTGTTGTACAATGTGTTTATGCCTAGATGCTTCATCAATTCCTTCCAAAAAGTGCTAGTGAATGTCTTGTCTCTATCAAAAATGGCCATTTTAGGCTTTCTTTAAAGCTTATAGACATTTTTAAGTAGATTTTAGCAACATCCATGGTTGAATAAGGATGGGACAAAGTCAAAAAGTGTCAATATTTTGTAAATTTGTCAACCACCACTAGAATGCAATTCTTGTAGAGTGATATGACAGTCATTCTATGAAGTCTATTGTGATCATTTCCCAAGCCTGGTTTGGTACTGGTAGTGGTTGCAACAGCCCAAGTTTGGTTACATGTTCTACCTTTGTTTGCTTAAAAATATTACAATGTTGTATATAAGTAACCATCATACTTTTAAATCTTGGTCAGTAAAAAAAGACTCAATTATATGGTAAGTAGCTTGACCCTCTGAATGACCTCCTTGAGGGGAGTCATGTAATGTTTACAGGATTTGCAATCTAAGGCTGCATGTAGTGCCAATGTAACATCCCAAAATCAGAGTTAGTGACTAAAATGTAAATTTTGGGAATTTTGTGCTCGATTTTGAAATAAGTTAAAAGTTCAAGGATTTAAGTAAAGAATTTTAATATTAGATTAAATAGAAAATATGGATGAATTAAAGGTGCCAAATGGTCTTTTAATGAGAAAATTTTTTATCTTCCCTTTTTGAGTATTATAAAACGTGGAAAATGTGAGAAAGCTTCCAAAGTTCTCTTATTCTCGTCTCTCCTTCATGCGTGGAAGCCAAGAGAAAAGGTGAGAGTTTTATTTGTGGATTGTTAGTTAAAAATTTAAGTTGGTTTTGATTCTTAGAATGATAAGAAAGCGTAAGAGAAGTTTTAAATGGTTTGAAATTAAAGATGAACAAGTTATGAGGAATTAAGTAAATAGAGTTTTCAAGAGAAAATTTGAATAAGAAGGTTTAAATGAATTTGGATGTTGAATTTCACTTTTCATATTTGAGAATAATAAGTTATAAGAGTTAGCATTAAGTTTGGATAACATGGAAAATGTGGTAAGATTCTTAGCTTCAATAATTTAAATGAGATTTGGGAGATTATAAGTTTGATAGAAGTAAGTTAAAATTGTTCTTGTTAAGTTTAAGGGTATGAAAGGAGTTATATATGATGGAATTAAGTGAAGTATTGGTAATATTTGGGTGAAAATTGCCTGTTCTGGGCAGGTTGTATCGGTACACTATGAATAGGTATCGATACACTAAGACCAAATTTTGAAGAATCGTTACATACTGCATCGATACATTCAGGGGTGTATCGATACTCGTGCATCGATATATACTGGCAGACATCGATGCATGGAAATTTCGAACCTAATTTGTGTACCGATACACCCATAGCGCATCGATACCCCCTAAAGGAAAAAGTAAATTTTGGTTCATTAATTATCTTAAGCTATTAGTATCGAATTATGAGGTTTAGGCATCTAATAATTATCTTGAAAATTATATGTATGTAGATGCTAAGCCTAAACTAGTTCCGAACATTTAGCAAGTAAGATCAATGGAGTATAGGATGTCAATATTGACTAGTGAGGCCAGGTGAGTACATATTAGTGATATGTAAGGTTTACTGGAAATTGGACTTGCGATAAGTCTATTTCCTAGAGTAATATGCATGAAATCATGAAAATGAGCATGGTTTGATATGATTATATGTGCTATATGTTGATATACTTTTTATACGATACATGATTTATGTAAAATATTATTATGTGATAATGGAAGATCGTAAAATAAGATATGTAAAGATATACTTGTAAGAAACAAGCCATGTAGGTATATGTTACTGATAAAATAATCAAGCCAAGGTTTATTGTGATACATAAGAATGACATGTAAACTGCATATAAGTGATACACAAAAATGACATGTAAATTGCATATAAGTGATAAATCATGGAGATATGTGACTATGAGAATATTTAAGAGAACAAAATATAAATTAGAAGATAATAAATTAAGAGACTCTATGAAAATGGTATATAAATTAGGGGATATGAATATAATGATGATACAAACTTATAGGAAAGAGTGATATACTTAAAAGGAAACTATGATATATGATGTATAAAATGAAGAACTATAAAACCCTACGAGAAGGTTATGGGAGTTACGTGGAACTAAATTAAATGGATATAATAAACTCGTATTTAAATAATATGAGATAAGTGATAAGGGTTATATGTTATTGTACAGGCTAGTATAATAAACCATATAAGCTGGTACAAAAGGAAAATGAGATAAAGATAAATAACTTTATCTATAGGATTTATATAACATTATATGTCGGTATGATAACATGAAAAAGTGAACCAAGTTCTATGATATTGATCTATGTGAGTATAAAAGTACAAACCATAATTTATATGATTTGAATAAGTTATTATATGTACATGATATCTGTTATGAGATGTGATCTATGTGATTACAGGAGAAATGATATTGACTATATGAGTATATGTATATGTGAATGATATGAAATTGAACTACTTAACTATGTGTGATCTTATAAAAATGTGACAATAAGTTATGTGAAAGAACTATCAGATTATGTGTATATGTGATATGAATATGTGAATGTGTGATAACATAAATATTAATGCCCATGTTATGTGTCACGAGAGCTAGAGGTATAGTTGGCATGCCAAAAGTCGATGGTCTACGCGATCCTTTGGGACATATATGTATCCTTTGGAACATCTATGAGGTCCTTTGAGACACATACTTGGTCTCTAGAATATGTATATGATTCTTAATGAATTTCTACATGGTCCTTAGGGACATTTTATATAGCACTACGGTGCATTTCTACGCGGCACTTCGGTGCAATCCTATGTGGCACTTTGTTGCATTTATACGAGCTGTGGTGACAACATTAGTGCACAACCTCTATAGACTCACGTATCTATAGTTCTCACATATGTATATAGGCCATTAAAGATATAATATGAGAAAATCCTATGTGTTGTTATATGGTTATTGGTGATATAATATTATATAATGTGTATGTGTGTTAAAGATAAGAATAAGATGATAAGATAAAACGGAATAACAATAATAATATATATGTAATAAGGGTATACATGTAAATGATGATATGAGTGCATGTGCGTAACTATTACCTAAAAAGAATATATGAGTTGGTATAATATGTACATATATGTATTTATGTTTTGGATGCATAATGAGTTGGAAAAATTAGTAGGATTATATGAAGTGTGCATGGTGGAAATTAGAATTTAGATGTTATATTTAAGTTTATTAATGCCTTACTAAGTCATCGACTTAGCGTGTGAGTGTTTCACACGTAGGTTCCCAAAAGAGAAAAAAGGGATCGAAGATGAGCATGTCAGGTCAGCTTCTCCTTCCTAAATATCATATCAAAAAAGTTAGAATTATATGTATTTTGTTATTTAAAATGTAGTTGGCATGTAAGATAAAAGATTTTTATTGAATACGCTCAGATAAGTTTGTAAAACCATATGTATTTATATAATGGAAGTTATTTGGTAAAGTCAATGTGACACCTCGGACTCAGATAGGGGTTGGGGTGTTATATTTAATGGTATCAGAACCAAGATTTAGCCAATTCTAGGCTTAAACTGAATTCAAATGAGGTTTAAAAATGTGTACATGATATCTCAAAGTGCAAATTATTGATTTGATAGTGTAAGGAGTATGATGTCTTGCTAATAGAATAAGATTTGTATGATATAGTAGACATTAATTATAGGAATTGTCGAAGTGAATCGATATCTGATAAACCTGATGGTGATAGCAATTCATCTGCCATGGCCAGGCAGGATTAAGAGTGGACACCTTAGGAAGTGCCTCGTAAAAATCAAAAGTGGATTTCAAAAAGTTAAAATCATGTTAGAATAGTGTTATAGGGCTTCTATTGTTTTGAATCGGAAAAGTAATCGGAGTACTTTCGTTATATCATGGGCAAGATAGAATATGGTGAACAAATGTCACCATGTGAACGTTAGGAAATTCAGTGACGAGGTTACTAGTTTTGAAAAAATCGGGAATAAGTATTTGGTGATAAGTTTATCAGATGTATGAAGCCAGAGTCTATGAATTTGAAACAGGGGAATCGTAACGTGTATGGACAAGAGTGTAGTTCGATAAGTTGAGTGAATAGATGTTAAGCTAATTTACAGGAAAATGAGGTATGCAAATGGATTATGAAGGAATTGTGCTCAAATTAAAAGAATGTTATTGGTATTGAAATCATTTCCTTTCCAAGAAGTAGTTAATTGTGCTAAAGTTCTAGAGAGAACTCAGAATGATTAAGAGAATTGACATTTTATAAAGATTAGCACTATCAAAAAGAGGTAGAAATTGAGTTTCACATATAATCAGGGTTAGAATTAGTAGTTTTATATGTTAAAAGATCAAATATGATGAAAGTCGGAAATGCTTGAGTAGTAGGATCTGATATTGGAAGATAAAGTAAAGAGTTAAGAATAAATATGAAGTTAAATGGTGGAGTGGATTAAAAGTTCTGTTAGAAATTATGTAAAGTGTCGTATAAGAAGTATTTTAAATGGATCAAGTGATATAGATGTTGTTTGTAAGAGATTAAGAATGAGTACATCGATGATGGGTTATAAGATAAAGGAAATTGAAATATTGGAGTTTGAACCCAGGAAATTGCATTATGAATGAGTAAGAATGTGAGTTTGATAAGTCAAATAAATTATTGATGAGTTAGTTTCGACCGAAAAAAGTCTATATGATTGGAAGAATTGTTGTTAACTGACATAGTTGGGTAATGATGAATATATTATAATTAAAGGATTGGAAGATGATGTCATGTTAAGATAACAAAGTATGACGTGAATTCGAAAAAATTATGTATTTTGATCATGAAAATGTAATGTAGTGAAGGAGACTGGGGAATAGTACTGTATATGAATTAGAGTGTGGGCTTGATAAAGTAAGTACATTATATTGATTTGATTTCAACTGAAATGATGTATATGATTAGTTTTATTAAGGCTTATGCCCTAGATTGAAAAGTTGTTATTGATTAACTGAAATGGTATGGATAATAGAATTATAAGATTTGAAGGAAAGATAAAGTTAAGTTAATCAAGTATGATGTAGACAAGTAGATGAGTATTTATATGTTTTAAAGGGAGTTTTGAGGAAGAAAATACAAGTACAAGAGATGGTAAAGAATGATGTTTTGTATAAATAAAGTTAAATGTTAAAGTTATTAAAAGGAGATAAAGATTTGAAAAAGATATGATCTATGATACCAGGAGATCTTGGTTTTTGGAGGAGAAAAGGGATAAGAAATTAAATGAAAAGGAAATTAAAGGAATAAGTATGACAAAGGTTATATGGAAGTGTAAATGGTAAGTGTGATATAGAAGTAAGAAGAGTGTGCAAGGTAATGTAAAAAGATTGTTTGCTTCCGTAAAGTATATGTTTAATCACATTTAAAGAAGATTTAAAGTTGTGTTCTTGGTCAAATGATGATGGAATAAAAGTTTGGTTATTGTTATAAGGTAATTAGAGATTTAATTAGGATGTTAAGTGATGAGAATGAATGTTACTGTCTACGTGATGAGTGACATTATATGGATTTTAGAAAAGGTCAAAGAAAAATGTAGAATCAAAGGAGAGAAAAGACAAAAAATAGATTTAGGTTCTTTGGTATTTGAAGGCAAATCATTGATTAAATTGCAAAGGGTTAAAGTAGAGAAAGCAACATGAGAACATTAAAAGATATATTTTTATCGGTATGTGCAATGAAATTTCGAGGATGAATTTTCTTAAAAGGAGGGGAGATTTGTAACATCCCAAACTAAAATGTAAATTTTGGGAATTTTGTGCTCGATTTTGAAATAAGTTAAATGTTCAAGGATATAAGTAAAGAATTTTAATATTGGATTAAATAGCAAATATGGATGAATTAAAGGGGTAAAGAATTTTAATATTGGATTAAATAGCAAAGATGAACGAATTAAAGTGGTAAAATGGTCTTTTAATGGGAAATATTTTTATCTTCCCTTTTTGAGTATTATAAAACGTGGAAATGTGAGAAAGCTTCTAGAGTTTTATTCTTCACCTCTCTCCTTAATGCGTGGAAGCCAAGAGAAAAGGTGAGAATTCTTATTTGTGGATGGTTAGTTAAAAATTTAAGTTTGTTTTGATTCTTAGAATGATAAGAAAGCTTAAGGGAAGTTTTAAATGGTTTGAAAATCAAAGATGAACAAGTTATAAGGAATTAAGTAAATAGAGTTTTCAAGAGAAAATTTGAATAAGAAGGTTTAAATGATTTTGGATGTTGAATTTGACTTGTCATATATGAGAATAAGAAGTTATAAGAGTTAGAATTAAGTTTGGTTAACATGGAAAATGTAAGATTATTAGCTTCAATAATTTAAATGAGATTTGGGATATTATAAGTTGTTAGAATGATAGAAGTAAGTTCAAATGGTTGTTTTTAAGTTTAAGGGTATGAAAGGAGTTATATATGATGGAATTAAGTGAAGTATTGGTAATTGTTTTGGTGAAAACTGTCTGTTCTGGGCAGGGTATATCGGTACACTATGAATAGGTACCGATACACTAAGACCAAATTTTGAAGAACTGTTGCATAGTGCATCGATACCCGTGCATTGATACCAGTGCATCGATACACACTGGCAGGCATCGATGCATGGAAATTACGAACCTAATTTGTGTACCGATACACCCATAGTGCATCGATACCCCCTAAAGGAAAAAAGTAAATTTTGGTTCATTAATTAGCTTAAGCTATTAGTATCGAATTATGAGGTTTAGGCATCGGATAATTGTCTTGAAAATTATATTTATATAGATGCTAAGCCTAAACAAGTTCTGGAACATTTAGCAAGTAAGATCGATGGAGGGAAAGACAAGAGATCGGTATTGACTAGTGAGACCAGGTGAGTGTATATTAGTGATATGTACGGTTTACTGGAAATTGGACTTGCGATAAGTCTATTTCCTAGAGTAATATGCATGAAATCATGAACATGTGCATGGTTTGATATGATTATATGTGCTATATGTTGATATGTTTTGTATATGATACATGATTTATGTAAAATATTATTATGTGATAATGGAAGATCATAAAATAAGATATAAAAGATATGCTTGTAAGAAACAAGCCATGTAGGTATATGTTACTGATAGAATAATCATGCCAAAGTTTATTGTGATACATAAGAATGATATGTAAACTGCATATAAGTGATAAATCATGAAGATATGTGACCATGAGAATATTTAAGAGAACAAAATATAAATTAGAAGATAATAAATTAAGAGACTCTATGAAGATGGTATATAAATTAGGGGATATGAATATAAGATGATACGAACTTATAGGATAAGCATTATATGAAAGAGTGATATACTTAAAAGGAAACTATGATATAGGAGGTATAAAATGAAGAACTCTAAAACCCTATGAGAAGGTTATGGGAGTTATGTGGAACTAAATTAAATGGATATAATAAACTCGTATTTAAATAATGTGAGATAAGTGATAAGGGTTATATGTTATTGTACAGGTTAGTAAAATAAACCATGTAAGCTGGTACAAAAAGAAAATGAGACAAAGATAAAGTTTTACCCATAAGATTTATATAAGATTATATATGCCGGTATAATAACATGAAAAACTGAACCAAGTTCTATGATATTGATCTATGTCAGTATAAAAGTACAAACCATAATTTATATGATATGAATAAGTTATTATGTGTACATGATGTCTGTCATGAGATGTGATCTATGTGATTACAGGAGAAAAGATATTGACTATATGAGTATATGTATATGTGAATCATATGAAAATGAACTATGTAACTATGTGTGATCTTATGAAAATGTGAAAATAAGTTATGTGAAAGAACTATGAGATTATGTGTATATGTGATATTAATATGTGAATGTGTAATAACATAAATATTAAATCCCATGTTATGTGTCACGACAGCTAGAAGTATAGTTGGCATGCCAAGAGTAGAGGGTCTATGCAGTTCTTCAGAACATATATGTATCCTTTGGAACATCTATGAGGTCCTTTGAGACACATACTTGGTCCTTAGAATATGTATATGATTCTTAAGGAATTTCTAAGTGGTCCTCTGGGACATTTTATATGGCACTACGATGCATTTCTACGCGGCACTTTGGTGCAATCCTACGTGGCACTTCGATGCATTTATACGAGCTGTGGTGACATCATTAGTGTACAACCTCTATAGACTCACGTATCAATAGTTCTCACATATGTACATGGGCCATTAAATATTTAATATGAGAAAAATTCTATGTGATGTTATATGGTTATTGATGATATGATATTTATATAATGTGTATGTGTGTTAAAGATAAGACTAAGATGATAAGACAAAAGGTAATAACAATAATAATATATATATAATAAGGTTATAAATGTAAATGATGATATGTGTGCATGTGCGTAACTATTACCTAAAAAGAATATATGAGTTGGTATGATATGTACATGTATGTATTTATGTTTTGGATGCATAATGAGTTGGAAAAATTAGTAGGATTATATGAAGTGTGCATGGTAGAAATTAGAAATTAGAAATTAGAATTTAGATTTTATATTTAAGTTTATTAATGTCTCACTAAATCATTGACTTAGCGTGTGAGTGTTTCACACGTAGGTTCCGAGAAGCGGAAAAAGGGATCGAAAATGAGCATGTCATGTCAGCTTCTCCTTCCTAAAGTTCAGATCAGAAAAGTTGGAATTATATGTATTTTTTTATTTAAAATGTAGTTGGCATGTAAGATAAAAGATTTGTATTGAATACACTCTAATAAGTTTGTAAACCCATATGTATTTATATAATGGAAGTTATTTGGTTTATTTGAAATATTAAACTGAATTTTTATTAGATTTTGTCAAATAAACGTTTTGAAAAGTCAATGTGACACATCGGACTTGGATCCGGGTCAGATACGGGTTGGGGTGTTACAGCCAATGTACCCTCTACTGTTGTATCTGATAATCCCTTTAGTGTATTTCCATTTTTCACTAGCAGCAGGTGTGGAAACCAATATACATATCTAATCAGCGATAAGGGAATCCTCTTTTATAATTGTCTTCCAACTCTTGACCCTAATTAAGTACTATTGTTGTAACCCCATTACATGACAATGGCCCTAATCCTCCCACTATCTAAAAAGTGCATCTGCCACCAAAATTTGTTTTTCCCTTCCTATAATGAATAGTATAATCCAAACCTAGTAGCATTGTTAGACCCGCATTTTTTAATAGTAGTTGTAAGCTTTTGCTCTAAGTGATACTTTAAAGGCTCATGGTCTGTCTTAATAACAATTAGACCCCCTTCTAAGTAATGTATTCATTTAGAGTCTGCCAATAGAATTGCAAGGTATTCCCTCTCATAAAAAAAAAATTAGAGTGTTGAGGGCTTAATGCTTTGCTTAGATAAAAAATGGTCTACCTTCTTATGATATAATACCACCCAATCCTTCTAAACTAGCATCAATCTCTTGGTAGAAACACTTAGCAAAATTAGGAAGTGCTGATACAGGGGCAGAACATATCTTTTCTTTAAGGGTCTTAGAAGTTTTGATCCCTTTAGGTGACTACTTGAAGTTATCATTCTTTAACGTATATGTTAAAGGTTTGTTGACTGCACCATAATCCTTTATAAAGCACATGTAGTAGCTAGTCAAGCCAAAGAATCCCCTAAGAGATTTCAAACTCTTCGGTAGTGCCCAATTCTTCATTGCAAGTACCTTAGCTGGATTAGTAGGCAACCCTGCAATTGAGATAATATGGCACAAATACTCTACTTGGCTTTGGACAAAAAAGCAATTACTCAGCTTGGCAAATAACTAATTTGCTTGCAATGTTTCCAAACCCAGTTTTAAATGCTGCACATCATAATCCATAGTGTGGCTATACACTAAAATATCATCAAATAACACCAACATAAATTTTTGAAGATAGATACTAAACAAATCATTCATAAGAGACTGAAAAGTAGTAGGGGAATTGGTAAGGCCACAGGTAATTACCTTGAATTCAAAGAGACCTTTATATGTTCTGAAGGTTGTTTTATAGATGTCCTCTGCCTTGATTCTAATCTACCAATATCCTTAATGCATATCAATTTTGAAAATATATTTAGCCCCATTTAATTCATCTAACAGATTCTCAGCCATAGGAATATGGGATTTGTATTTTACTGTCATGTTTTGAGCTGTCTGCAATCCACACAAAAACACCAAGTTCCATCATATTTCGTGATCAGTAGACAAGGGGAATGAAAGGGGCTTTTGTTAGATTGAATGATAGAAGAAGATAAAATGCTAGAAATCTATTTATCTACTTCTTATTTCGGATGATGTGCAAATCTTTAGCGTCTTAGGTTGAATGGGGTAGAGCCTGGTTTAAGAGTAATTGCCAGGTCATGATTTCTACATGGGGTTAGCCTTTTTGGCTCTTCAAAAATTGCATAGTATTGGTCTAACAATGGTTGTAACTCAGGGGGAATCTTTGCTTGAGGGACATTCATACTCATCATGAAAATATGCCCTAATAAGGTAGGATCCATTGATGTCATTTTCTGAAAAGTGGCCTCAGATACTTGTTGCACTGAGGCAATTGTATTTTATCCATGAATCAAAATTTGTTTTCCTTTCTTATGAAAGCTCAAGGTAATGTTGTTTAATATATTAGAATATAAGAAATAAGTTTCATTCAATCCACCCCTAACATTTTATCACTACCTCCCAAATTCAAAATCCCGAAATCATGAGTGAAATTGTGGTCTTCATCACCCAAGTGACCTGGTTGCATTTAGTTGTGCTAAAAAGTTTTATCCATTAGCCACATTAATTGCCAAGGGATAAGTGGTGACTTAATTTACTCCTTCTTCATCCCAATATGGAGTCAAAAACCTATGTGTACTGCCACTATCAATCAACATACTCAGTGGTTTACCCTTAATGTTTCCTTAAATTCTCAATGTATTATGGCCAATGAAGCCAATAATGGCATTAATAGAAATCGCCAAGTTCTCTTCATCTTGACCCACATGTTGCACTATATCTGCCACATGAATTTATGTTGTGTCACCAATGTCTTCTTTAGCCATCATATTCAACTGTCTTGGCTTGTATTGATGGCCTGGGGTAAACTTCTCTCCACATTTGAAACATAAGTTATTTTGTTTTCTGTAGTCCATGAGGTTTAGTTTCTTTTGGGGCATAAAATTTGTTTTCTATGATTATAGGGTAGGCGTAGGTTTAGAAAACGGTGTGGGGTTTAGGTAGGGTGAGTTTCTATATGTGGGTTTTTGTCTTCTGTTTTTAAATTCCACATAAAGTTCATAGAGCTTAACTTGCTAGATGCTTCAAAGTTTTTAGGGTCTTATGCCTTCACCCTATGTTTCAGCTACTCTTTTAGTCCACTAATAAAGATGCAAACAAAAAACTCCTCCCCCAATGTAGGATTTTTTAGCATCACATGAGCTTTCAGTTCCTCAAACCTATCTTGTTACTCATGTAATGTTCCCTTCTGAGTTAGCTTACTAAAGTCTACAATAATATCAGTAAAAGCTTTATCATTGAATCTATGGCAGACATATGCGTCGAACTCATGCCATTGAACATGAAACTTTTGCATAATGTATCCATTGGACCATGTTTCTACCCTTCCCACAAAGTACATAGAAGCTACTTATATTCTCTATTCATCTGGAATACTCATGAAATGAAAGTATTTATGACATTTTTGAATCCATCTCCCACGGATTCGTTCCATCAAACATGGGTAACTCCACCTTAGGTTTATGCATCGTAGATCCAAAACTACCAAAGGACCCTCATTGTCCTATTTTTTTCATCTCCACATCCTTCCACATTCATTTTAGTACCACTGTGATCCCCTTTTTGTTGGCCAAGTTTCAAACTTGAGGATTGGTGTATATTTCATCTGGTCTAGATTTGAAAATACCAGGTTCATTGGGTTTGTAAGAATATATGGACTTGTCATCAATAATTGTCACTAACATGGGTTCTTTGCATCACTTTTGGAAGGTTTTAAAGAGTTTACCTGCTCACTGTCAGAGCTTAAATGTTCTTATTCATCTTTTCTTCCTTTCAAAATCCTTATTATATCTTCTACATACCCCTGATTTGTAGTCATCCTCACTTCCAAATTAGTTATGCGCTTGTTCTATGCCTCCCACCACTTTGGAGGATTAGTTTTGTCATTTGCTTACTTGACCAACTTAGCTAAATCTTCAATATGCTTTTGTATTGCAGAAAGGTCAGTAGGATCTGGCATTGTTTAATTCTTCTTTGGCATGCCTAGATTTCAAAAAATGCCAGGATTTTAGGCTCTAATGCCAACTGTTATAGTCTTAGATTGTTTGAGAGTTTGAGATGTAAAAAAAGAAGAAAATAGGGTTCAAAAAATATAAATTTGCATTCACAAAATGCATGCTTCTTTCATCCAAATTACATTTTTATTTGTTTGCATTGTACTGGGAATCTACTAAGAATAACAGTTGTTTGTCATGTATCGAACAACCTTAACGTTCTATTTCAGGTGACTTGGGCTTCTTCATTTGGGTTGGCTTGCCTTCAGCAGGAGAAGCTTGTAGTTTCATTTTAATTTTCCCGTGCGCCTCACATGCTTCCCATGTAAAATTTCCTAATTCCTTCACTGTAATCCCTAACCTTTTCTTCCCAATTCCCAATTTCATCGCTTCGAGTCATCTTCTACAATCGTGACGGTAAGATCAAAGAAGATCAAAAGATGAAAATAAAGATTTCTTACCATTGATTGATGATGAAAGCAACTTGAGAAGAAAATCTTGAAGAAAATCAATAGAGGAAATCTTGGAAAAATCGACCGCACATGAAGGAAAATGTAAAGAAATTGGAAGATAAATTTTCCGAAAAATGAAGGGGAAAATAATAGTGAGTGGGGTGAAGAAGAGAGGAAATAGAGAATTTTGAGATCTTTTAGTTGGAAAAATGAGTTTGGCAAAAGAAATAAAAAAAATGAATGCAAGGTGGTTAAAATCAATGAGTTAATTATCAAATTAATTAAAAAGAAAATTAAAATCAAGGTATATGGAATCCAAGATTCATGGCTGAATCAAGGTATTTGGAGGGAAAATATGATCGTTTAAATATTGCTTTATAGAATTATGAATTATTATCCACTTCAAATTTAGTTACCAAAATTTGAAAATCATTAAAATTCAATTTAAACCTTATTTAAAAATCCACAATTCACTTTTAAACTAAAAATTTTCATTTACAAATTAATTATTATTTTTTAAATACTTATTTCATATTTATTCAAAAATAAATTTATTCTTCAAAAATTATGGATTTCACCTGATTACCCGAAAATGAATACAATTTCTATTGACCCGAAATATAGGTGTTACATTCTTACCAAACTTAGGATTTTATCAATCCGCTAAACTAGATCAAAATACATTTTCACAAAAAGAACAAACATATTACATCACTGAATTTCCAAATCAGATTGTTCCCAGTCTGATAATTGAAAATTCATTGTGAGCACTAAAATTTTTATTTTAATCATTGAGAAGTGTGCTTGGTTTGATTAATTTCATTAGATTAAAAGATAAGGCAATTTGGGATAAAATTTAAAACCAAAAGTGAATGTTGAGAGTTCAATGACTAAATTGAAAAAAAAGGAAAAATTGGAAGCTTTGAATGACTATTGTCCCAATTGTACTTTTTAGGGGAATTATGGAAATG